CCACGTCGGCTGAAAAACCTGCTGAGTGTAGTAGAGGACTTGTGAGTTTTGAGGACCAAGTTTGCCACAAGCAGCAAATTGAAGCTGTACTTTATGTAAAAACCCTTAAGGGAAAAGCCTCGTGCTGCCACCCGACTCCAGGAGCTGCAGGTTTAGGGAGAAACACCCAAATACCGTGAGATGCCCAAGAGTCACAACACTGGCATTGCCATCACACCTCCCCCAGCTGCCAAACCAACTCTGGTCTTGGGGGTTACAGATATTGGAGATGATTTGATGTAGAAGACCTTTTGCATTGTCTCCCCTTGAATTTCTGACTCACTTATTTAATGCTTCCCAAAACGATCACTCCCAGGTTAAGGGTGGGAAAAGCTTTTCTCGGCTGACCTGCTGCAGCGTGTGTTCCTTTCTGAACACCTCTAGAGGCAAGAACCTTCCAGTTTAGACATGAGGCAGCCCCAGTGCACAGTTTGGGTTTAAACCAGCATGTAAAGGGGCTGGAGGGCACACTCGTGCCCTCGCTACCCCTGAAAAAGCCATATTCCCACCTCCTTCCACCCCAGCAGTTGTGAGCACCCTCTGTCTGATCAGCAAAGAGAGATGAGCCAGTCTCAGACATCCCACGTGCTCCCTGAGGTATTTGGGGTGTTTCTCCTACAGGTTTAGGAGCCCCAGCCGTGCTGCATCCTCCCCTTCCAGCTATCGAGGATCTCCCCAGGTTACGAGCAGGGTTTGAAGCAGCAACAAAAAACAAAGCTCAGACTTACTCCAGGACAGTCCTTCCAGGGGGGTCATGAAGGAGGACTCGGCAAGGACCGTAGCTGGAGGTGGATATGGCAGTGTCTTGGCACCTACAGATCTCTCCCCCCGGTTTGGCACCCACGCTCTGTCCAGGGCACACCCAGCGCTGATGGGCTGTGTCCCCACCACGTCCCCACCACTTCACTCCCTCCAACCAGAGCAGCTCCTGGGTTTTGTGGCAGACACCCCCCAAACCACCCCCCAGCTCCTTTTGCTGTCTCACTCGTGCACCAACTCACCGGTTCTTAAATCACACACTTCCACGGGGCCAGATCTTTCTTTAGACTTCGCTGGTAATTCCCGGTACGAGCAAAACGTGACCACTATTTGTTTCTCTTTTTCTTAAAAAACCATCGATGGAGTTTGTGCCACCACCCCAAGCCCCGTGTGAGAGCCCCATCAGTCAAGCTCCCGCTTGGCATCATTAAATGCACACAGATGTGTGTGAGACCTTTACACAACCCTCAAATAAATGAAACTCAGAGCCCGTTTCGTCCGTGTTTGAGGCTACCCCTCTCCCTGTTACTGAAAGAAGTTATTTAAAGGAGCCCAGGGACACAGGTTGGTGCTGGGGAGATGTCTAGGCTTTACAGAAATCACTGCATGTGCCTCCACACCCACAGCAGCACCACCAGCACGTGACTCGCCTTGGATCTCCTCAGCCCGCGATGCTAAAACAAAAAAATATATCATTTTCTTTGTACCAGGTGGCTTTTTTTAAGACTGAAAGGTGGATTTTCAAGAGTGTCAAAGGAATTAAGTCATTAAAATGTGGATGAGCTTGATGGATTATGAGCTATGAAAGCCTGGTGGTTACTGACTAATAAGGCTGGGAGGTGGAGGAGGGGGGGGATGTTTCCTCTCGTAAGGATGTGTTTCTAACAAGACAGGTCAAAAATATGATGCGGATGATAAATTGCTCTAAAAGTTGCCATTAACCCAGCAGCTTTCTGCATTATTAGATTACCAAGGCATCCTCAGAGCACACTGACCACGCAGTTTTGCTCTGTATCAGTGCTAATTTGCGGAGTGAGACCTGGGGGGGAGGTTATTGCGCTCGCTGCAGTGAATTCCCCACTCCCAACAAAGGGGCAGCTGCCGGCAGGTGTCTGTGGTGCATTTGGAAGGGATGGGTTTATCCCTGTCGGGGTTTGGGGTGGGGCAGAGGGGAGTGGAATTTGGGGTTTTTTTTCGTTTTTCGGTTTTTTTGTTTTTTTTTTTTTCCACGCCACAACCCGAATCTCATTGTCTTACGTGGGGTGGGGGGGGTTGAATTAAAAAAAAAAAAAAGGCTAAAAAAAAAAAAGGAGAAAGAGAGAACAAAAAGAAGGAGGGGGTGGGGGAAATAATAATTAAAAAAAAAAAAAATCACATTGGAAAATGATCAGCCCCAACAGGCATGCATGTCTCCCTTCATGCAAGCGAGAAGCACAGCCTCCCTCCTCGGGATGTGTACGGGGACATGTGTCAGGCACGGAGGAGCTCAGCGCTGGCCCGGGGCGAGGATGGAGCGAGAACAAAGGGCCACGGCAAACACTACATCCAGGGGGGAGCAGGGGGGCGACCCGCCGGTGCTCATACAGGGTGGGGGGGACAGGATGGCCAAACAGTCACCGAGGTACACGGAAAAGGAAATATGGAGAAGGAAAATCATAAGTAAATGTTTATAGAGAAAAACCAACCAAACTCGGGATAAAAGCTAGGAGGGAAGGCACGGCCTTGCAAAATGATGCGTCTCCGGGAGGGATGCTGGGGTAAGGCAGGGCAGGCTGCCGGAGCCACTGGCTTTTTGCTTTGTTTGCCAGCGGCTCCTCGTGAAATTTTTAGCGGTGGGAACCCACCGACCTGCTGAAATTTGTCTTCCTCTCATTAAAGACCAATCACCAATCCTGTGTCTTCCCCCCCCACCCCGGCTTCTGTGGAAATGTAATTAAAGACAAGATGCTTCCCCCCGCCTCCCCTTCCCAGCCCCATCTCTCCTGGCTTTGGGAGCCCTGACTTCCCTCAGTTTCTCGTGGCATCCAAGCCAAAGCTGGGAGGTTTTACAGGACCATTTTGCAGACCTGGGAGAGGGGTCTGGTGCAGGAACAAGGAGAGGTGACCACTATTATTATCGCTTTGCTGCTGCAGCAAAACTGCTCGCTGACCGCAATTTATCCATCCCTCCATGCTTCCAAATATTTTAAGGTTCCCCGTTACTTTCTCCCAACCCCGTACTTTGCTTTTTTAAATTCTTTTTTTTTTTTTTTTCTTTGACCAAATCGAGTTTATTCAGAAGATGGTAGGCCTGGAGGCTTCGAGCAGGAAAAATGTAGTTACAACATTAGCAGCTGGGACGGTTTTTACGAGCCCTGCCTTGCAGGGGTCTAGTGAAGATATTTATAGCGTGCCAGTCGCCGCGGGACCGAGGCACGGCAACTTCTCGCCTGGCAGATGGTGGGCAGGGCACTCGCAGAGATGTATACGTTTAAATATACAGCTTAAAGATTAAAGGGAATTTTTTTTTTTATTCTCCCAGGCTCGTTTACACCTCTTGTTAATCAAAGAGTTTCAAAAAAACCCCAAACAATTCCCCCCATCCATCCGGAGGTCGTTTCGGTTATCAGTCCTGGCAAGGAATGTGTAATGTTGTAACTAGAATGAATAAGCAGCAGACCCTTCATCAAATATCTGTATTTTTTTTTTCCCCGATTAATAATGAGGGATTGGATTGTACACTTTTTTTTTTTGGCTATTCTGCGGTAAAAACAGAATTCTGCATCGGCACAACAGCAATACGGACTGTGCGCTGGGGATTATGTACACACAGACTAATGCTGAGGGTAGATATGGGATAGGAAGGGGGAAAAAAATGTATTTAAAAGCCCCCCCCACATCTGCACTACGAGGGAGGAAAAAAATCCACTCACTCAAACCTCACGATGGGGGGGGAAAAGCAAGGAAAAAATCTAAACAGCAGGATACGACAATAAATGGGGAAACAGCAATAGAAAAAGCACACTAGGTTAATATAGGAAAACTAGTTTCTTTATTGAGAGATCGTATATTAGTATTAGTGGAATCGTGTGTAACAATGTCATCATGCACACAATACAAAAAGGCAAGGCCCACCATGCTATGGAAGGGCAACAGAACAAAAGCAGCGTACACTGAGCAGATGTATAGGCTACAGCACATTACATTTCAGCAGGGTATGTCTCTACAGAGAGATTTACATCAGAAACTAGGTAATGTAAAAAAATACAGACCATGCTTTAGTTTTAGTACAAGAAAAAAGGTGGAGATACACAACCAAAGGATATTCGGTACAGAAAAAATTACCCACAAAATAAGAACAGGAAGTAATTTAGCACAGCAGAAAAAAATGTTATCCCTGTTTAATGGAAAACCATTTTGCCAGTCGTCTCTTTTTCGCAACCCAGTTTTGTTCGGGATTTTTTTTTTGGGGGGGGGGGGTAGGTGTTGGCCAGTTTTGGGGGTGTGCTGGCGGGACAGGACACTTGTGGCTGGACGGATGGATGGATGAAAGGATGGACGGACGGACGGACGGGGAGGGGGGCGATGCCCGCGGGGACAGAGGTGTCACCGCGGGGACAGGGATGCTGCACCCCCCGCCAGCAGCTCCCGGGGGGGGCACTTTAAGTCCCGCTCAATCACAGATCCCACTCCCCAACTCTTTTTCCAGCCTGATTTTCAGGGAATCGAGGCCAATCGCTGGGTTTTCCTCTCCCCGATTTGGTGTATTTTTTAGAAGGTTTGGAGCAGGGAGGTGGGACCAGAGGACCCCGGTGTGGTCGCTTACAACCTCACCCGTCCTGTGATTGTGGTTTTGGCCGCAATTTGAGGGCGTCTGCCCCCCTTCCCCCCTCTCCCACTACCCCTCCCCAAAGAGACTCTGCGTCGACGACCAAGGCAAAACAAATCCACTTAACAGGAATTTACAGTGCAAAATGTAACTCAGCTACTACACAGGATGGAGGTACAAAAATGGCTGTTATCGGCTACAGCTACGCTGGGATGGCCTGGGTGGCTACGGCGAGAGGGGGCGAACGGGTGGGGGGGGGGGGGCCCAAAAGAGGAGCGGTGTCCCGAAAAGGGGGGATGCTGGTGGGCTGGGGGACGTAAGGGGCACCCCCCCACACTTTGTCCTGCCGGGACTGCGGGCCGCGCCGCCCCCCCCGCGGCGCCGGGAGCGGTACCTCTGTTGCGCACGGAGCCGAAGACGGGCAGCACCAGGTATCCGACGTGCACCAGGACCATGCTGCGGCCCGGCCCTTCCCGCCCCGCGGACGCGCCGCCGACTGCGCCGGGGCCGCGCTGCGCCCGCACACAAAGGGACCCGCGGCCAATGGGCAGCGGCGAGCGCGGCGGGACACGCCCCCCGCGCGGGGATCGGCCAATGGGAGGGCGGGGGGCGGGGCGAGGAGAGCGAGGGCAGGCGCGCACGCGCGCGGGAGGGGCGTGGGGGGGGAGGGAGAGGGGAGGTGGTGCGTGCGCGCGCAGCCGCCGGGATCCCGTTCGTCCGTCCGTCGGTCCGTCCATCAGGCTGTCCATCTGCCGTCCGTCCGTCCGTCCGTCCATCCAGCTATCAGCCATTCGTCCGTTTGTCCATGCATTCATTCATCCATCCACCATCCGCCCATCCTTCCATCCATCCATCCATTGTCCCTCCACCGTCCGTCTACCATCTATCACCCACCCACCATTCATCCGTCATCCACCCATCCACCCATCCATCCACCCATCCACCCATCCACCCATCCATCCACCCATCCATCCACCATCCGGCCATCCCCAACCTATCCCTCCATCCATTTGTCCATTCATTTGTCCATCCCTCCACTGCCCATTCATCCATCATCCATCCGTCCATCCACCCTCCACCATCCATTCATCTACCCAACCATCCATCCATCCGTCCATCCATCCATCATCCATCCATCCATCCATTCACCATCCACCATCCATACATTCATGCTTCCATCCACGATATATCCACCTCTCCATCCACCCACCCGTCCACCACCCGCCCATCCATCCATCCATTCTTTCACATGGATGCATGTGCACACACGCGTACACACACATGCACACACGTGCCTGGGCTCACACGTGTGTGTGTCAGCATCCAGCATTCACTGGCACAGACACATGTAGGCACACAGCCCCGTGCATGTGTGCAGCCTGAGGCACGCACGCACACACATGTGCGGCCGCACATGTTCACATGTGTGGGAAACAGAGGCACACGTTCACAAACACGTGCACACATGTGCTGGGACACACACACATGTGTTGGCATTTGGAATACAGGCACACACCTCGTACACCTACACAGCCCTGTACACGTGTGCAGCCAGAGACAGACACACGTGCACGCACAGGTACATGCACACACATACATGTGCACACATATATGCAGATACACACGCATACATGTGCACACACATGCACACACACATGCACACACACATGCACACACGTACGTGTGCACACACACATACACATATACACACACATACATGCACACACACATGTGCACACATACACGTGCACACACACACGTGCACCCATTAACATACATGCACACACACGTACATGTGCATGTGCACGTGCACCCATGCACACACACGTACACATGCACATACATGTGCACACACATATACATGAACACACACGTGCACACTCACACATGTGCACCCACACACATACATGTACACACACATACATGTGCGCACACATATACATACATGCACACACACATACATGTGCACACACATACATGCGCACACACGTACAGGCACACGCGCACATGCATACATGGCACATACATGTGCACCCACACACATATGCACGTGCACACACACACATAAATTTGCGCGCACACAGACATGCACACACACACACACACATACATGTGCACACAAACATACATGCACACACACACGTGCACACACACATACATGTGTACCCACACATGCTCACACACACGAACACGGGCACACACCCCTGTGGCCCCGGACCAGGCACCGCTGTGCCTGCAGCAGCGCACACGCGGGGAGCACACGCGGGGAGCACACGCGGGGAGCACACGCGGGGAGCACACGCGGGGAGCACACGCGGGGAGCACACACGGGAAGCACACACGTGGAGCACACACACGGGAAGCACACACGTGGAGCACACTCCGCCGCACATCCCTGCCCATGACATGCGGGGGACACACGCCCAGCCGGGCCGCAGGAGCAGGATGGCGGGGCCGCAGGAGCACAGAGGGCTCGTCCCTGTCCCCATCCCAGTCCTTGCCCTCATCCCCTCCCGGGTGACAGTGGCCCATTGTGTTGGCGCCCCAGTTACTGACAGAGCTGCTCCGTTGGGGCATCGCTGACCTAAAATGGCTCCAGCGGGACCTGGAGGGATGCGGAATTCCCTGGGGGCTCGGAGCCACCCTCCTCCTGGGGCAACAAACCCCCACGGCTTAAAGAAAGGCGATTCTCCCCCCCCCACACGCCTGAAAAAAAAACAACCACAGCCAGAGGCTCATCTCGATTTAAAACTGTTTAAATGGAGTCGGAAGACCCCGTTGTGCAGGAGTGGTTTCCATCAGGGCGCAGGACCCCGGGAATCATTTCATCCCACTGCAAAGTGACTTTTCCATGGCCTTTCCGCCCCGCCCAGGCCGGGGGGTTGTTGTTGCCGCCGTCCCGCCGTGGGGAGCCCCCTTAATCCCCGCTTAGCCTTATCCATCCCGTGCATCTGGCAGGTTTAAGCGCTCGGCAGCCTCCGAACGTGGATGTGCGGTGGATTTGTCCGCCTGGATTATGGCAGTGGGTTTGTCGTTGGATTTATCTGGTGGTTTTGTTGTGGGGTTGGGTTGGTTTGTTGTTTTGTTTTGTTTTGTTTTGTTCCCCCCCCTCCCACCCCCGATCTGAATTAAAACGTGGGCTTGGCAACCTGGCTCTGTGTAACCCCTTCCCTCCCAGCGCCGCAGCCCGAGGGCAGATGCGTGGGAAGGATTAATTTGATCCACAGGGAGCAGGGACAGCTGCCAGTGTGTGCCCTGGAGCCTCCTCCAGAGCTGCCACCCCCCCCCACGAAAGGGCTCTTTTGGGTAAGTTCTCACATTGCTGCTGCACCGAGCTCCCCTCAAATGGGAGCAGGACAAAGTCCCAGGTGCCCACTGCCTCCCAGTGCCCGCTCCACTGCATCCCAGTTTGGATTTCCCCTCCTGCCTTGCCCCCCTCAGTGTCCCCCGGGAGGTTGTGCTGACTCCAGGGAGGGTTTTTGGTAGGGAAAGGCTGAACCTTGCCCCCCGCTGTCACCGTGCTGCTGTGGGCAATGCTCGGCCAGCCCTGGCTCAGTATTGGCAGGCAGCACATGATGCCCCATCAGCATGGATATTTCCGAGGAAAGAGCAAAATCTGTTTGTGGGGGTTTTTTTCATAGAATCACAGAGTGGTTTGTGTTCGAAAGGACCTTAAACTCCATCTCGTCCCACCTCCCTGCCATGGGCAGGGACACCTTCCACTATCCCAGGTTGCTCCAAGCCCCGTCCAACCTGGCCTTGGACACTCCCAGGGATGGGGCAGCCACAGCTTCTCTGGTCAACCTGTGCCAGGGCCTCACCGCCCACATCATAAGAAAGCTTCTCCTTGTATCTGATCTAATCCAATTTTCCATAATTGTGCTGTAATGAAACACTTCCTGCGCCCCTTTTGTGTCCCAGCGTGGATAAAAAACCAATTCCCACCCATTCCTATCAGCAGCAACAAATCGTTCCCAGCGCCAAGGTGTGATCCCGACCTGGCTGTGTCACACACACCCTACAAAGGGACACTTCTTTAAGCGCTAAAAAGGCCTGGAGGGTGTGATGTAGCCACACCCACGCGTGAATCAGCCGAGGAGAGGTGTCCACCTTGTCTCCCCGGGGCCCACATCATGATGGGTGCAGGATGGGGTGTAAAACACCCTGGCGTCCCCTCCATGGTCTCCTGAGTCCACTGCTGGCCCTGGGCCAGGGGCTGCAGCCCTGCCACCAGCCCCAGTTGCCTGGGGCAGCTGCTCTGGTGGCCCCCCGGCCCCGCCACGCAGTTGTCGCGGGTGTTTCACGGGGCTCAGCCCTCACTGCTGTTGCTTCACATCCTCACACACATTCCCCCCTTTTCCTGAGACACCCAATCCACCCCCGGGGCTTCACATGTTGCACAGATGCCGCAGGCACAGGTTGGTGTTAAAATTAGCCCTTGGCTCCCTCCTGCCCACGAGGCTCCTGCCTGTTGGTGTCCCCCAGCACAGCTTCTGGGGTCCCAGCATGCCCAGTTTGGGGCATCTTCCCGCTTTTGCCCCAAGCTCTCCTTAAAAATTAACAGAATTCTGCTCCGGTGAGATGTTCCCCAGCCTCATGAGTGTCACATGTGACACTGGTGAAGCTTTGGAGATGCTGGAGCACAGGGACTGGGACACTGGAGGTGTGTCACCCCTCAGTCCCATAAGGAAGGATTCTCCCTTTGGCCAGGCACGTACAGGGGATATTTGATAAATATAAATGTGATGCAGAGCAGTTGGGAGGCGCTGGGGCACATGTGGCACGTCAGCCACCTTCCTCAGGCAGCACTGAGGGTGATCATAATTCCCAGCTCGTCGCCAGACCCTCTGCCCACCTCAAAGCCCTCAGTCATTTCCTTCCATCTGATATGGGACTTTTCACCACCTCTGCAAGACCAAGCGGGGTGAAATCCTGTGGGAAGTCAAGATGGGATCAAAAACTGATGAGCTGATTTTCTTCAAACTTGGTTGTGGTTTTTTTGGCTGACCTGTGGTAGGAACAGTGGAAAAGCCCCAGGGAAGGGTGTTTTCCAGCTGTTTTGAAGCCATGGTTGAGTCAAGGAGGACACCTTTCACCCTCAGATGCCATTTTATGGCAGGATCATGGAATCCCAGAATGGGTTGGGTTAGAAGGGACATTAAAGTCCACCTCATTCCAACCCTCTGCCATGGGCAAGGACACCTTCCACTATCCCAGGTTGCTCTGAGCCCTGTCCAAACTGGCCTTGAACACTTCCAGGGATGGGGCACCTGTGGGATTGATGGCCTGGAAAGAACTGATGCCTCACTCCTAGTAGGGATGAAGCATGTGGATGGTGTGACCTCTTTGCTAAACAACAGTCTGAGGCTTTGATTAATTGCTGGTCTTCAGCTGCTCTTTGGATCATGATTTCCTTGGCACCACATCTTGGTGTGTCCATGGTGATACAACCAGAGCAG